CAGGGGCTTGTCAAAATTTTTTCTGGGGCTTTTGCGGTAGAACTACCTTTAACACGAAGCCATTGAAGAGCAAAGCGTTGGAAAAGGCGAAGGAGCCGGCGAAGAGATTTCAGTCGGCGCCGTCAGTGGCTATACAAACCGGACGGTTTCGATTGTCCAACGCCAAAGCTAAGGCTAAGGCTGCCCCAGCGTTGCCAGACATGCCTTCGCCGTCTCATGAAGCCCGCCCGCCCAACCCATTGTTTCGCCTCTAAAGCAAATGAACCATCAAAAGTTGATCGCACTTACATGGTCACCAGCAAAGAAGGCGAAAAGGTGTTCCTGAACAAATTGCGTTCATTTCCTGAGTTCAACTGGGACATGAAAGATGTGATTGTGCCGCTGTTCTAAAGCATGGACCCAACAACATCTCAAAAACGAACCACGGACTATTGGATACAAACTCCTTTGTGTTGGATTCGTATAGTGCATAGCGACCGTGATGCCCAGCACCATTGTCGTCATCCGATAACCTTGATTGCTTCTCGCCGTGTTCTGGTCCAACATAGAAACACACAGCTTTCATGCACCTCCCGCGAAGAAAGAGTGAGTGCGTTCCTTCATGTGAAGCATCTACACTAGAGAACTTCGGTGTTTCAACTTTCGAGCTTTGTTGAGATTGAGAGTCCCGTTCAAGAGACTGTTGATCTTACGGCTAGAGCTCCCAAAGGATGGAGAATCCCATCTGAGCCCACAGCATCCGAAAGAAGGCAGCACGAATTGACACATCTTCCGTATCGAGATTGGTGTCCTCATTGTGTCAAAGCCAAAGGTAGACATGGTGCATCTAAGAATCTAAGAAACAACCGGATCGCCAACTTGTCATTCAAGTGGATTATTGCCTCCACGCTATGGATCCCAAGCTTCCCTTGCGCAAGATCTTGTCAGCTGTTGACATTGTCACTGGCGTGGGATTTCTGGTAGTGGTTCCTAGCAAACGTGAAGACGATTAGGCGGAATTGAAGAGTTCATGTACGAATGTGGCAGAGCCTTTGGCATTCTTCAATATGACCAAGAGCCGTCATTGAAGTTTTTGTGCACCCGCGTGTGTCGGATTGAGTATTCGTGCAGCCCCATTCGCAGTCCCAAGGTTCAGTGCGCCAGCTTCAGAAAACCTTTTATGGCCAATTGCGGTCATTGCTTTACCAACTCGAACACAATACCGGTCTCGAAATTGACTCAGACTCTGCGATATATCCATGGGCAGTGAAACATGCCCAATGGTTATTAAATCGTTAATTTGATACATTCGGACGGTCGTACCTTGTATTTTCGCCGTTGGGGTATGAATTACGAAGGCGGATTGTGTGTCTTTGGTGAGTCAATTCAGGCCAAGGTGATTGCTCCCAAAACAGCGAAGAAGTCGGATATCCTTTGGAAAGAAGCATTGTGGCTAGGTAGAGACATTGAAGCCGATGAGATTGCGGAAGCTCTCCCTGAAAGAGCCCGCAATGTCAGAGCCATTAGGAGATTCTCCCCATCATTGCAGTGGAAGCCTGATCCTGTGAAGACGCTTCAAGCATTGCCTTTAAAGTCACGAGTAGCAGACGCGGAGTTTACTGACATCGTTTACTCTGAGGCATGGGATGCGTTGCAGAGACCTAGAAGCAAGGTTCGGGAGATTGAGATCTCTGGTGATCATGATGGTGAGATTCCTGATGATCCCCACGAAGATGGTGAAGATGATTTGATTGATCCCTCGCAAGCGTTCTTGATCCAAGCGAACTTATTGAAGAACAACATGAACAGATTGAGCTTTAGGAATGACCGATTGAGAGGTCTGAGATCTCCGAACCAGAATTGCTTTTCTCTCTTGGCATTCACAGAGCTGGTGATGAAATCGAGGAGTCGTCGTCCAAGTCGAGTCGCATTTACCCTGACACTCCGGTCCCTGATTCCCCTAAAAAGGTTCAGAGGATTTCGGCAGTTCACAGTACGTTGCTTCTTGTCAGGTAGCGATTATGGTAAACTACATAGCTGGACTTATTGGTGTGACTGAAGCACCTATTAAGAACGGCATTTGGGTTCCCCTTCATGTCAACATGGATGAAGGAGAATTGCGTCAAGAAATCAAACTCTCAGAGCCAGTGATCTGGGATGTTACTCGGGAATCTCCCGAAGAAGCCCAGAGAATTGGCATGAACAAGGAAATGAAATCGATGCGTGATTTCAATATGTACACTGAGGTCCCGATGGACCAATGTTCGCAGTCGGATATTGAAATTGCGATAGGAGTCCGATGGGTGAAGCGATGGAAGTTTGACATTGAATTGAGGATGAGGTTAGTAGTTCAAGGCTGCTTCCAAGATGCTTCGCCCTTAAGCTCCCTTCAAGCCCCCCTTCACCCTACCCATCTCTGGACTCATCACGCTGATGGCAGTGGGCATTGCGTTTGGTGCAAAATGCAATCGAGGCGGCTTGATTCGTGTGCAGCTTTCCGCGGACCCACACAGCGCATCTACTGCAATTTACAGTGGATCGTGCCGGCCCAGTGCGAAGCACAGCGGCTCGGGTCTGGCCTTGTGCATGTAGAAAAATTGAATTCGGTTAGAAGATATCGAAGAAATAGAGAGAAAACCGGAACATCGTCACATCAGTATGAACCAAGGCACCTCCGCTCCAGGATTTTTGGTCAACGCTTTCGGGTTTTGATGTGAACGCAGCGTCAGCGGTGCGCTTACAACACCAATAGTAGGAGCTCGACAAAAGAAAATTAAACATTCATTTTCATCTAAAAGTGTATTTGAATGGCAAGCGACATGGGGTTGGATTAATTAGAGATGAGTGTCACAGTTTATCAAATTGTTTCGGAATAAAAATCAGCATTGCAACACCAGACATGCTCGATTTCCTTTTCTAGCGCTATAAAATCATTCAAGATGCATTTGCATCGGGGCAGATTTATCCGGTTACAACATTCGCACAAAAGTTGGGGATGCGTGCGTGTACTTGTCCTAAGGTCCTAAGGCTCATCCCCTGTTGCATCGGCTTGGAATATCTCGCCGGATAGCTTGCTGGCAGTTGAAGAGCACTGGCAATTGGCTCCTCGAGGTGCTTGATGGGCAAACGAATGGCAACGGCTGCAGAGCCGGTTGCAATGCATTCAGCTTCACAATGTTTGCCTGCTGGGCAGGGGTGTTGTAGAGTCGGGCTCTCCGGTTTTTGTCCCGTGCCTTTTCAATATTCATGTCCGAATGCTCTGGTGAACGTGAACTTGGCAATGTAGAGCTGCAGTTGTGCTCCAACAGATAGTTTCAAACAGCAGTCGTCCATGACATTGTCCAAGCAGTTGCCATGGCCACAAGCCAGGTAGCCAATCAGAGGAGTAAGGGGGGTAGTTCAAGATGACCTTGTGACGCCATGAAAGCGAGGCAATGTGTACTTACTGTGTGGCATCGCGCCTTTGTACTTGTCTGGTTGACCGGCCGTGTTGTGGGTGAGATCACATTAGGTGCCCTCGCAGGTTGGACAGCTACTGGTTCGGAGGAGCTGGTGGCCACCATTGCTGCCATTCTGGATTACCGGAAAAATTGGGATGTCTCTTTAGCAGCGAGGTTGGGAACGCCTGTAATCGACATTCCAGGTGGTGTCCATGAAAATGCAAGCACAGTCAGTTTGCGTATCGGTACAACACACCTGCAGCCCGATGTTGGCTTGGCCACAGCTTTGGACTTAATGTTGGGTTTGGATGGAGCACAGCCTGCGGTGGGGTTGATTGGTGCACGGGCATCTGTTGTCAGCGCTCCGATTGCCACGTTGGCAGCTGTTCGGAAGGTGCCACAAATATCCTTCGGTTCAACAAGCCCTGCTCTTTCGAACAAGGCCGCATATCCATACTTCATGCGAACAGCACCACCAGACACTCTCCAGGCCTTCGCCCTATGGGAGTGGATCGTGCAGTCTGACATTCCTTTAGTAACTTGCTTATATTCTACAGAAGACTTCGGGCATGGGCTTGTGCAGGAAATCCAGAAGAGAGCACAACAAGAGGGCCAACCGGACAGGGTGAAGTCGCAACCATTGCAGTACATGCCTCAGGTGTTTGATGTGGACGAAGTACGGAAAACTCTCGCATCACTGCGTCAATTAGGATCCCATTTCGTAATCCTTGCTGTGGAGCCTCGAATGGCTTCTCAAATACTGCCTGTTCTGAAAGACGAGGGCATGTTGGGTGGCAACTGGCAGTTCGTCGGTACGGACCTGTATGATGTTGCTGAAAATGCTCTTCCGGTGGGCTTCATGACTTTCTTGCCATCTGGCAGAGGATCCCGCTTTTCAGATTTCCTGCAGCTTTGGTCAAGGATCGATGTGGCTGACATTTTGAGTAGAGATTCCATCCGAGCGTACAGTCTGGACAAGATGGAAGAGCCTTTGGATCACGCGGCAGTTGCGAGCGTCATCGGCGACACTAGCAAGACAACTACCTGGGCCGCATTATGCTTTGATGCCGTCTATACCTTTCTTGTTGCAATCAACCAGCTTCTGCGGCAGGGATTGCCCGAGAGTTCGATTCGAGGCGAGGTGCTTCTGGAAGCACTTCGAGAGACACGGTTTTCCGGTGTTTCTGGTGAGGTCAGCTTCGATGGGAACGGTGACCGGCTCGGATTATACAATCTGCTAAACGTGCAGGTTGTGGGCCTTCAGCAGCAGACCCAATCTTTCGTCGCTGCAATATTTTCTGCATCCACTGGAAATTTTACCTTCGAGCGAAAGCTGGTTTGGATGGATGGATCCCGTGGCTTTCAGGCTCCAGCACGATTGTCTTTGTGTGAACCTGGCTTTTACCAAGACGGGTTGTCCAGACAATGCAAAGCATGTCCCAATGGTGCCATGTGCACTGGAGGCAATGCTTCGTTTGTCATGTGTTCTCCGGGGACCTTTGCAGACGGCTTGGGGATGTCATGTATGCCATGTGCGAAAGGCCACTTTGCTACTGACCCTGGCGCCTTTGAGTGCAGTCCATGCATTCCTGGCTTTGTGGCCCCACGGATGGGCATGGAGGTGTGCGAGAGGTGCCATCCAGGAAGTTATATGCCTTTCACACGGGGCTCACCTGCTTCCCCTGCGAGGGCAACCAGATCACAAGAGAGAGCGGAGCGATTTCCGAGTCCGAGTGCATATGTGGCGAAGGCACCTTTCTGTGCAATCAGCGCTGTGAGACCTGTCCAGCAGGCTTGTATTGCCCCGCGGGTCTCGGCCCTCCACTGCAGCAGGCTGGCTTCTGGGCAGATGTGAACATCTTCAATCATTCTCGCACATGCGACGCGTCAGTCCTGCGCTGCCGCAGCCATTTCGAGTGCCCTTTGGGCAAACTGAGCACCTGTGCAGACGGAAGAGAAGGCCCAGCGTGCAACAACTGCAAGCGCAACCATTTTCCCGTGAGTGATGGTGAGGCTGGAGTGTGCCTACCCTGTGAAAGCACAGATTTCTTACCGGGGCTGGCTTTCTTCACTCTGCTTCCCTGTGGCTTGTTCGTCGTGACAGTCTTGAAAATGGAGCCAAGTCAAGTCAGTGCCTCGCATGCAAAGGCCGCCCAATGCATGAAAGTTGTCTGTTCTTCACGTCATCTGCCTTCAAGCTGAGGCTTCAACTTGCTGACTGCGGCTTCGGTGGCAAGTCAGATGATCGTCGCAGCTCAGACCCTTGGTTCCATGCGGCAGCTGTCTTTGGCCTGGCAGCATCCTGTGAAGCGACTCCTTGAGTTCACAAACTTTCTCGCCCTGGACCTGGACTTCGTCCGCATCACTTGCATATACGGGACAGACCGCCCGGTCGTCAAGTTTCTCAGTCGATTGACTTTTTGCCCAGCTGCCTGCGCGTTGATTCTGGTCACCTGGCTAGTTGCGAGGCTCTGCTTCCGCCCGAAGCCCATCGACACCACTCTGAACCAGTGCGGACTGTTCCTTTTTGCATTTTTCCTTCCTGTAACGCTGACAACCTTGAGTCCTTTTCAGTGCACACCGAATCCGAACGGAACTGCCTCGCTTTTGTCAGATCCGGGTATTGTTTGCTACGAAACAGATGAGCATGCCTTTCTGGTCGCGCTGGCAATGGTGGGACTTGTGACTCAGCCTTTGCCAATTCTGGTGGGAGCTGCCTATATCACTTTCATGTACCCATCGCGGGTTGCAAGCGGCAGGGGCCTTCGTATGATAAATCGCTACCGATTCCTGTTCCATCGATTTAAGCCAGAGCAGTACTACTACGGCCTTTTAGTCTTGTGCCGCAATGGTGTTGTCGCATTGTTGCCCATTGTGACTGTCGACATCCCCGAGTTGCAGGTCCCTGGGATGGCTTTCATACTGCTGGCTAGCCTTCTGTTGCAAGTCAGGACGTATCCCTGGCGAACGGAACAGGCAAATCATGTGGATCTCCTTCTCACGAGCTTCTTGCTCATGGTGCTCGTCGGTGCAGCCCCCTTGCTCAACCACGACCAGGAGCGAACCTACTCGGTCTTGGGCTGGCTACTGTGCATTCCCGTTCTTGGGCTCGCGGTCGTCGGTGGGCTGGCTTTGCTTCGAACCCTTCTGGGCCATCTCAACAAGAAGCTCCTCTTCGGCATTTTCCTTTGCCATCACAAAGGCGGTGCTGGCAGCCTCTGTCGACTCATTAAGATCCTTGTGGCCAGGCACAGTCAGGCACGTGTCTTTCTCGACTGCGATCAACTTGAAAATTTGGACCTGCTGTTTGACATCGTTCGCACGTCGACTCGCAGTGTGGTCGTAGTGTTGACGCCGGAGGTCCTTAAGCGAGCTCCTCGATCCACAATGTAATAGGAAGAGGAGGGGTTTGAACCTGGTGGACTAAAGATGACTGATTGAAGGAATTTGCGCTTGGGGTCAGCCCTCAATCACCTGGCACTGCATCAGTGTGTGACCCCAATACGTAAAGCACACGGCGTGGACACGCGATCGCTCAAGCCTTGTAGCCTTGGTTACAAGAAGAATCTGCGTGGAGAGGGCATGCTCAACATAACGAAACCTTTGAAAGCTGTCATAGAACGAGCCGGCCAAGGTTTGGTGCGCCGGGGAGATAACAACAGCATGGAAGAACAACATCACGACTGCGCCGCTCCTTTGAGATGGATTCCGACAGATGTCAGCAGAGGACCACAAGCGGATCGGAAACTACTGAACTCCACAGCAGAAGCAAATGCTCAACAGCCACGGCATGGAGATGCAGGTGCGGTACGGTGCGTTCATCATGAGAACTCCTTGACCAGCATCAGTGTGTGTATGTGTGTACGAGTGTGTGTGCGTGTGTGTGTCAACACGAAGAAATGATCGTGTCAGCGTGATTCTCAGTCTCTGAGGATGTCTGGCTCGCGTACCAGTGGCTACAGTCAGATCTGGTGCCACTGCACATGCCACGGTTTGGTCCGGCCGAGACCTCGGCCGTGCAGACTCTGCTGTTGTTTCTCCATGCCTTTGCCACAGCTGCTTCAGCAAGAGTGCAGCTCTTCGCACAGCATAGTATGCTCTGAGAAAGTAGCATTTCAATAGCCTTGTCCGCTCATGCTCAGGTATCGGGACGTGAAGATATCGTCCGTGGCATGCTGGACCGATGTGGAATGCTGTCTCGTGGAATCAGGGGTACGGTGCTATCAACAGGAATCTCGTTCACTTCACTGCTACCTTCAAGGGCACGGATACTGATCATGAGTTCAGTGGCAGATGCCGAATCTCTGTCAGCTTGTGAGGTTTTCATGTAGCTTGACTGGTTCAGCTGTTGACGCTTTCGTTTGTTGCTTTCCAAGATCGCGAAGTCGTTTGTGAGTCAAGCCCAGGCTCGTGCTCCAGGCACAACTACGTGTGGAGTGTGCTGTTGTACTCAACAGGAAGCAGATGATCAGGTGGAAGCCGTTTGCGTACTACCTGGTGGTATTGCTCGTCCGTGGCATTTTCAACAATCATCGCTTTGGCCAGCTGCTGTTGACAGGGTTGTCCGCGCCAGGGCGGAGCTTGGAGTTGCTGACCCTCGTTGCCGACCCACACTTTGAGTTCCCAAGTTTTGATGCCGATAGCCAAATGCACGATGCAGACGATGCAAATGCGATCATGGAGGACCATGATCCATTAATCGAGGTCACTCGTTCAGTTTTGGCTTTATCTTTGCTTTGCCTGACCCATCGCCATTGCCTTCTTTTGAATCAGTTGAAGTGCTGTTGAAGTTGTTGGTGTAACAGAGAACTCATCCCAGGCTTACCGGAGCCTCGTCAGCGTACTGGCAATGCCTTTCTCGCCGCTGGGGTCGGAAGGCCTGCAGCAGAAGCAGGTTGCAGAAATCGCTGGCCGGATGCACCGCTACAAGGAGCTTTGAAAGGTTTGATCAGAGGATTCGCCGTCTCCTGCTGCATTCTGCAGCGCCGAGTTTGAGGCTCCTCCCTGAAAACATTGCCCAGGCTACTTCAGTAATTGACTCTGCCAGCTTTCTTGCCCTCGCAAACACGGACTTGAAGTGCGCAGTGTGACTAGCCGCGGGGCCTAGAGCACCACAACTCGACACGTTGACCGAAATTGCACGGCAGTCAATAACTGACGCGCTTATGGAGTACTTGGGTTTTCGACTGACGAAGAGCGCAAGGATCCTGCCACAGCAGCCTGGCGTGATGACGCGGATGACCGCGGCCTGGAAATGGACGTGGACTTGAAGGACCGGCGCTCGCAGGGGTTGTTTCTGAGTAGACCGGATTGTGGAGCTCCGGCAATTCTAGCCACTGCCTCATGGTGGACATGCACAGAAAGTTGTTTCTCGGCACGAGGGGAATAGACTCAAGAATGAAGACGGAATCTACTCTGATGACTGTTCTTGCTGATGCCGCTCCTGCTGCTGCTGCTGCAGCTGCTGCTGGCTCAGCCTGATCTTCTGGTTCTTGCATGCTCAGGAGCTTGCCTGCCAGCAGCAGAGCACGATGCACACACTGTCCGAACTTCCTATGGAACCTCTGGCGTTCCAGGCACCGAGTCCTTGCAGGAAGCGGACTGATACGTTGCTATTCACTGTTTTTTCCGGTAGGGAAGCGGTGTTGGTATCCCATCAGCAGATGCGACGAAACTTGGGGAGCGTTTTGGCAGCTAATCCTGTACAAGGATAAGTCCGATTTCACGGCGGACCTACATTTTCGACCGCGGACATACGAAGAATTTACACTGCATGGATGTCCGGTCCGATGCTTAACGGCTTAACCCAACCTGTGAAAGCTGGAAGCATCTAAAATTACGATTTCTGGAGCTTTCTATTTCATCTGAGTTCATAAGATCCAGAAATTTCCTTGCCGGCCTATCAGACCCAGGAGTTCCCGAAAGAGAAACATGATCAACCATCACGAAGTCAAGTTTTCGTCTCCATGTTTCATCTACCCGAGTCAAGCACCATATGAGTACACGTATGTATGTATGTGTGTATGTATGCTGTATACATGTATGTATGTAGGTATGTATGTATGTAGGTATGTATGTATGTATGTATGTATGTATGTATATGTATGTATGTAAAAATATGTGTGGAACCCGTGTTTATTCTTTGCTGTAATTGCTTTATGTTGTTTTTTGTTGTGGTTGCGCGGACCCAGGAAGCCAGTGAGTGAGTGAATCCCCATTCCCGCAACGACAGCAAAAGAATAACTGCCCCCCCCCCCCCGCAACGACAGCAAAAAATAAACGCGCCCCCGCGACGACAGCAAAAAAATAAACCCACCCGTGGGGACGACAGCAAAAAATAAACACTCTTACCGGATATGTGTGCATAGAAATAACTAAGTGAATATTTAATATGTACACCTATATACGTATCAGTCTCTACTCTCTCCGCCGCTCGGGATTCGCTGAACAGGCCAAAGCCGCACGAGCAACCTTTTTCGAGCGACCTCAATGTGGGAATCGGCCACAGATCACAATTCGACCATCTCCAATCTTCACACTTCCGAACCGACACTCTGATATACTCTGATCGCCGGAGGGGCGCACCAGATGAAACCTGGCGATCGTACCATGTTCATCCGATCGAACAATCAGAAGAGATATTCCCAGCACATGAAGACGAACTCCGCATCGGCTGGAGCAGAAAATCTTCATCGCGCCAAGCCAACACTTAAGGGACGAACCCAGAATCAGGGAATACAGCGGCATAGCTATGCAACTCCAAACCCTCCTTTTTTGGGATAAAACGGAAACCGCTATAGAGTTCCAATAGAAGCTTAAAAAACGGAGGTGACGGGTCCTAAAGTCTTATAAGAGAACCTCTGAAGTGTAACGCATCGAGACTCTTCCTTGATTAAGGGATCTTGGACTCTCCGGAAGTTCGTTGCAGGCTAAGGGTTTAGCCGTTAGGATCCTTACTGAATCTGATTCGAAAACGTCCTGGTTCTTAACAGAGCTTCTTCGTCAAGCTCGTAGATTCTGCCTGATGGGCTTGAGTAGCTTGTGCTGAAACGCTTATACATGTCTGAAATCGTTTCGTTCACGGACTCACAGAGATCAACGGGGATGTACGCGATCAAACACTGGCTTTATATGTCAAAGGGGTATGTGTCTGCATCAACAGGGTAGCCATTTATCTTAGAACAGGGTTGGCATATCTCACGCGGCAGAATGACGTGATTTGGGTGGCGTAGTCCAGTTGATTCAAGTTGTTGATATGTTCACAGACTGTCCAAGCCTTCCCAAGGGAACAATCCAATTCGAAAGTTACTTGGACAGGCTAGGGTTCAGACGGTATAGATCTGCATCTAGATAACTAGAAGAGGTAGTACGATAGTGAACATAAGGCCAGAGACGAATACAGAGCTGTATTTATGATAATTTGAAAGGCATATGTCAGTAACATCGTTTAGAAGGGCAGAGAAACAAACTTGCACCAACCAGATATTATTACTACAGACAGGTATTTAAGAACATTTCGAGAGGCGAAGGTCGCTAACATCGCCTAGAAGGGCAGAGAAACAAGCTTGCACCAACCATATAGCCAAAGGGAGTTGGGAGGTGAAAGCTTCGAACGTATTTGAAGTATTTGTTGCCTAAATCCTTCAAGCTTGTCCAAGTTCAAAGAGGTTTGACATTATCCGGAAGGTTAGTCTGATAGTGCAGAAGCGAAATTCGACAGTTTAGATGGGCGCTTCGCGAATTGACAGAGGTATTTAAATGGAGAAGTTAGGTACGGTTCCGACCAATACAAAACTAGATTGAGATAGTTTAGATGCTTGTTTAGACTAGGAAACTTGCAAACCATTGAAATGGTTAAATGGTCGACAGTGCTGGAACGACTTGAGTTTCAAGCCGGATCACCAAACATTGAAGATTGACGATTTCAGAGAAAGTTTTGCGGGAACCTTCGATCTCGGAGTGGATTGCTTACTTGAAACGGCTTGAGTTCCCGGCCGCATCGCCAAACACTGAAGAGATTGAAGATTTCGGAGAAAGCTTTACGGAATCTTTGATTTCGGGGTGGATGGCTTCTGAAATGGCTTAAAACAAAAGTCGGATCACTGAAGATTGAAGAAGATTTTTGGGAAGTTTTTGGTAGAATCTTAGATTTCAGTGTGGATGGCTTGAAACAGCTTGAAGCGGCTTGAAACTCCAGCCGGTTCAAGGTCCGGTTGGGTTTTGGGGGCGCGGCTGGACATGATTTGAACCAGCTTGAGTTTCAAGCCAGCACATCGTGATTTGAGAAAGGGAAAGGATCCACAGCAAAAAGGAATGAAGCAGCAACATCAAAGGGGATTCCTATTGAAAACGATCGGAGGGCCGATGCCCAGGATTTGCAGCAAAAGCGGTAGATAATTTGGGGTACCATACATACATAAATAAATAAATAGATAAATAGATAAATAAAGAAATAAATAAATAAATAAATAAATAAATAAATATATATATATATATATATATATATTCAGGCGCTCCGCGGCCTCCCCCTCCCCCCCCATGGTCCATGGTCCAGGATGCCCCGCCCTCTCTGTGGGTGGGGTGTGGGGTCCCTCTTCCCCCTGTGGTGTGGTTGGGGGTTTTGGGGTTTAGGGTTTGGCTTAAGCTTGTGACTTTGGGGTTTAGGGTTTAAGGTTACAAGTTGTAAGGCTTCGAGTCGACAAGAGCTTAAGGAGGGTTTTGGGTGTAGAATGGTTGGGGTGACGGTTTATGTTCTGCTTGAAGCTTAGATCCTGCATATAGGCGGGGTTTAGGGTTTGGTGTATAAGTACAGGTCAAGGTTTATATAAACAGCAACATGCGTTCTAGGGTTTATGGCTTGCGTAGGGCTTGCGTAAGATTACGGCCCTCTCTGACCCAGCAGCACCCCCCCACCCCCGCTTCCCCTACCAGACCATACCATTGGGGGGGGAGGGGGATGGGGGCTGGGAACGCCAGTCAAGAGGTGTGAGCATGAAGTCTGGAGAGAGATTCTGATCTCATGTTTAGTCTGATTTGGTGATTTCTCAGCGCGGCTTTCTTTGCATTGCGGCTGACATGTGCCATGTGTCCTGCACAAGTTTTCGTGTCCATACTATTTCCGCAAGAATCGTTGTTGAGTTTTCATAGACACCGGTAGGTTGTTTTGAGTAAGCGACTGTGGGGTCGCATGCTCGGGACAAATCGGTCTGTTTACCTTGTGAGCTGAATGTGTTTAATCCGAAAGAGCTGACCGTTCGAAACATTGCTTTACACCGGGTTTTACTCGCCTTTGCAGGCAGCAAAACTGCAGCCGGACGATGGAACTGCGTCCAAGTTCTCGATGTGACTGTCCTGCGGTAGGTTCAAGAGAGCTCAGACAGCTCTACGAATTGTGCAATGAAGCACTTCTGTAGAGATCGCACAGAATGCCGAAGGTGTGGTCATTGGTTCCGAATGATGTATTGAATGGGCTGCAGATACAGCCGCATGTATCCAAGTTCTTGGCACAGCCAACTGGATCCAAGTGGGTTTTTCTTCCATTGAGCGTGCGTTTGGCCGTCAATTGCCTTCAAGAAAATGAGGCCGACCCATCCCCAAGGACAATGAGAGGGTTTCTATGCACGTCAATGTGAAGATGGTATTGCGTGTCCATGGGGCCCTCCCGATGGTAGTTGTAACAAAGTGGTTTCAAGACCAGCTAATTTGCTGGTTTTTCATTTGTCAAGCAAAGGTGCCGCAAAAAGAGACACGACATGGGGATAGACCGAACCTTTGACGGTATGTAAAACGCGAGAAATTCTGACAGAGCGTGGGCATCGAGATGTCGGGATGTAGTGCTGAATATCCATGCTGACGTTGCTGTTGGGCTCTGGAACAAGTGAACACTCGCCGGCAATGCAGTGGACGATGGCTTGTGCTCAAACCGAGCAGGTGGGGACCTGGGTTCACGAGTCTGGGCCACTCCCGAGACTTGGAAGAAACACCTCGCACAGTCACGCACATGTCGCAGGACTGATGGTCGGTCCATGGCACCGGAGGCGGCAATGAAACTGCCACTTTCAGGCAACCTTAAATGATCCTCAGCTGGCAGGAAAGCGTGCCATGTGAGGATTTCACGACATGCGGGGCTGCACAGCACTCAGCTGTGTTGACGTTGGAGTGGTGCAAAGTAGTTAGAGAGCACTGATGCCGCAGATGCTTTTGAGGCCCAGTTCCAAAACAAGAGCTTCCCGAAGAATGTCAAGCAACAGGTCGCAAGCTTTGCTCGCAGCCCTGGACGACGAGCAGAAGATTGCTCTCCCGTCGTGCAGGACTCGTACTTCATCGTGGAGGACATGGTCAACACCTTCGGTGTGCGCTTGGGAGGCCAGGACCGGGTGGCACTCTACGGCCGGACTCTGAGCCTCATGCCTGTGTGATGTTTAGCTTCTGGCTGGCGGTTATTGGCATCCCGAGGTGTGGCGGATGGGCACGGCGAGTGCGGGGAGATTTGCGCAGCTTTCGTGCGTTGGAGTCTCAGCCATGCAAAGAAGAAGCGGGTCGGGAAAGGCTGTGACAGCTTCGAGGCCGGCACCTGCCGACACAGCTTGCGAGGTCTCAGCACTTTGCAGAAGGTGGAAGGGTCCTGCAACTTCTTTCTCGAGTTTTTTCTGCATGCTCAGTCTGTGCTTTTCGACAGTGTTACCCAACACCTGAGGATCGGATGTAGCTGTCGTAATCCCATATGCCTATATATGATGTTCACGCAGGCCATCTGGAATCAGCGCTGGTGGAAGCTTTCGTCCAGACAGACCTGCTGCAACAGTCTGCAGGCCAATGCTTTCTGAAATTCGGAGTGAACGCAACCACTAGCAGCGTGACAAGCGATGGCAGTTGAGGCCTTCCTCTCTGGGCCTCTGGTGCCTGTGTCATCGCGGCCGCGGCCGGATTCGCAGCACAGCGTGCTATGTTAGGGTTTCTGCAATGTGTCATCTTGTTGGACGACCCCGGTGCTCAACGGCATGCAGGTGTCACCAACCAGCATTGTGGTGGCAAACTGTGGTGACTGCAGATGTGCCCCTCGGCTCGAGCTGTGTAAACTTCGCCGACATCTTCGGTCTGCTCCTGTGAAAGCTTCAATTCGGAGCTTGAGGTGCTGGCGGAACAGGGAACCGCACGGGATCTCTCCTCCGACCACAACGTCCAAAGTGCGACGCAGGAGGTGCAGAGCTGAAACTCTCAGGGCGGTATTGCAGAGCTGGAGCCCTGTGTCATGTCCTGTCTGCAAAATGTGGGGTTTCAGAGGCAAGATCGACGGAACAGGATGCACTGTAGCTCTGCAAGCATCGATGCATCGTCCAACCTACACTCCTACACATGCCTCAGGCTGATGCAGTGTCGAAAGTCCGAAACAACACGGAAGCTTGTTTGAGACTCTCCCATAAGCCGGAGGAGCTCCGGAGGGTGCTTGCGGCAGGTGGCCGGATCCTTTGGCAGTCAAGCGTGATGTCAAGTGCAGAGGCTTCAGAGTCTTTGGATCGTGCGTGGAAGCTACTTCACACTTTTCATCCAGTACGCGGAGTAGAGTAAGACTAGCCGGCCTCTTGCTGGCAAGCAGCATCTGTTGCAGCATTCTCTCCACAGCCGGCAGCGCAGTCGAGTGATGTGCGTCAAGCTAGTTTCACGAACTGGTGTCGAATTGCGTGAGGGACGGAACGAGAGTGTGGTGGGGCCTGTGTGGGGAGTTTTTGAGTCAAGGCAGCCTCACTCCGGATAAGCGCGTCACAACCGGAGGCTGCGGCAGAAGGGGTTGAGATGCTGAAACCTACATACCTAGCCACCGACCTACCTACCTACCTACCTACCTACCTACCTACCTATCTATCTGCCTACCTACTGGATGTATTTATCCATCGACCTATCTGTTGTCTACCTGCCTATCCATCCATCTAGCTGTCTGTCTATCTTCATACAGTGCCATGTACATCTACGTAAATACAAGTAAACGAACACAGCGAAACACTCATCCAGATATATACACGCTGCACCTCAGGGACCTGCGCTCTTATGACTTTGATTTTCATGTGCTACCCATTCCTTACGGTGAACTACCCGTGTTGACACACTCATGCTCAAGTGTTTGAGTGCTTGAGTTTTTGGCTTTCATTGCTTGGATGTTGCAATGCAAGAAAGCCGTAAACCTCTTGGAGGAAGCCAGACGTACATGTCATAAATACCTAATATAAATATAAATATAGATATAAATAGATAAATAAATAAATGAACATATATATATATATATATATCTTCTATGTACATATATACACACTCGCCCACATTTGCATGTGTGTGTGTATATATATATATATGTACTGCGCCACGCGGCCTCTAACTCAACATATGAGACACCGCAACCCCCTTTCCCCCTTAGACTCCTCACACAAGATCCTAAAAGCCGAGAACCCTACAGTAGTATAAATTTGTTCCCGGAGATTAACTACTCCACCACGCTGGACATGTAAAATGGACCTGTGGCCTCTCCGCCTCTCCACGGTACATGTTCATGGTATATTGTCTGTATGTCAAAACTTTTATATTGGTCAAGCATATAAGCACACATATATACACATGTATATATATTTATAGACATTTCTGTATATATATATATATGTAGATATAAATATGGATATGTGTATGTATATATATATATACACACACATACACTGACATACACTGACTTAACGGACAAGTACGTATGCATGCATGCATGCATGCATGCATGTGTGTGTATGTGTGTATGTGTGTTTGTGTATTCATATATTTATGTATGTATGTATGTATGTATGTATGTATGTATGTATGTATGTATGTATTTATGTATGTATGTAGGTAGGTATGCATGTATGTATGTGCACACTAGGTGTATAGCAAGGTATCTGGATCCATGAGTACATCTATAGGTCCATTGGTTATAGGTAACCCAAACGAAGTATGCATCTGTAGATGCATCTGTAGATGGGTGCAGATCGAGAGATAGATAAACATAGATGGACAGCAGCTACGGCGCTGCGGACGGCAGCCGCTTTGGCAGCCTGTGCAGGTGCTCCTGGACGGCTCGTCTGGACCTCGGAATCGATGACGCGCCTTCCCAGCCCCTGTCTGGATTCTGGCCAGCTCTCGATGTTGATTGCATTGGTGGTGCTGGTGCTGATCAGGCGACAACGCGTTCGCTGGGGGACTACTGGGCAAAGCCACAGGTCTGATATCTTGTTTGCTTTGATTTGGTGGAAGATCCCGAGATGTGATACGAGCAAGTCAGCCAGGGACCTGCGGAAGGCCACATCATCTCCGGCCTTCCTGAAATCCAGACGATAGTGTCGGGCTACTTATTGGACCTGATCGCCAGGGTGCAGCCTCATGTCATTGAAAACTGGCCCTCTGAGCCAAGGCGACGTCCTGGGCAGCAATATCTGCTCATGGCGTCAGACGGCATCTTCGGATTTATGCACGAGCCTTAGGTCAAATTGGAGATCACAGAGACCCTGGTTCTTGGAGCTAGACCTGGACGTGCACGTTTCGATGTCGACATCAGGTCATCTCAAGAAGTCGTCTCCATGCCGCAACCCCAGACTCACTCGCAGATCGTTTTTTTGCGAGCGAAATGCACGGCAAGCGTCTCTGGCTCAGCCTGGCTCAAAGACCTGAGCTGAAGCGCAATGGCCAAAGACTTGCTTGGCAAGCCAGCGCCGGACTTTGACATCCAGCTTCTGGATGGGTCGACGAAATCCCTATCGCAGTTTGTCGAGGCATTTGCCTTTTCTTTATGCTTGTCGGAGGAACCCTGTGAGATCTTGGTCATTGCCCTGGTGCCAGGAGGGAAGACCGACCCTCATCATGTTCTACTGCAACTACTGCCAATTCTGCCTGCGGGCAAGCACCGAGCTGCAAAAGCATTCGGCATCCGCCAAGTACAAGGACGGGACCAACAATAGTTTTCAACCTTCGCAAACTGTTATATCGTGGTTTTAAGTGAGGGAAAACTGCTAGAGCAAAATCGACATCATCTTAGTCTTGACCGTAGAAAGAGGCGCATGGGGCGCCACGGTGTGACGAGCAGTGGGCCTAGGATATGTACATGTGTGCTGGCAAACAGGCACGCCAAAAGAAAGAAGCAACATTTCCTGGCGCGATTCACAGCTCCACGCAAATCGTAAGAACACTAATGACTGAACCCCAACGTGCTCACGAAGGCTAGCGTCGTGGATGCATAGAGAGCTCGCGAGTTGACCTGCGCTGCAAAACCTCAGAACAATGTTCCGCAAGTTCCTGTAACTATCAGCAAGACTGAATTTCGAGAAGTATTTGGTGGTCAAAACGGTGTAGTCAGCCAGCACTTCGAGACCGCATGGGTGCGGACACTTGAGAGCCAAGTGGTATCGATGCTGTCAGCAGAACCAAAGATCCTACGGTGATAAATCTGCACTCTGACGGTTCGACGCATAATGGTTGACCTAGCTCTTGGCCACTGCCATGTCATGCTCTGTGCAGAACTAGCATCGTTGGCCGCTTCCGAAGGACTCCGTGAATTTCGTAGTCATCAACCTGGAAGGCAGGGCTTGAACTTCTGCTCGAGCTCTAGACATTGCTCTTTGGCCATGCATGCAGCCAAAAAGCCCATCGATCCCACTCTGAGGTGTCGCCAAAGCTCAGGAATTTGGGGGAACCAATCGCTTGAAGAGCAATGTCTGGCATGGTGCTGGGGTTCCATCAGAGTCATACGGCATCCGCTACGTGCCACACAGAACCCTGATCTCTTCTGCCGGCGATGTCGTTCGGAATTATGATTTCGACTGGGATGATTTGGCTGGTCTCGGATGAGACACCCAGGCCATGCGAAGTCCAGGCAATCTCGCGAAGTGATTCCGGGCATCTACACGGAAGACATCGAATGTCAGTGCCATGACAGACAGCCGCGAGAAGCGACATGCTGAGCTCCCACCATCGAGAACGGCACAAGTCGCAGTTGACGGAGATGTGAACCAAGACTGTTCTGGGAAGATCACATTGGCTTTGGTCCCAGACCTAGCCGCGAAGATGAGCGGCAAGATCACAAGATTGCAGAGTGCGGATGCCGGCTGGGTTGATGTTGTGCTTGTTGCTGTGCACGAAGCAAAAAGTCCACCAAGTGTCGCGGCCAGGACCTGTGCCTGTGCCAGGGTGTGCTGAGATGAGCTGAGGTGCCTGTCGCGAGCCCAGCAGCTGCCCTCGTCGCCGCTGTCGGCAGTGAGCCATGCGCTGGTCTGCGCGGCGGAATCCTCGGATTGGCCAGGTTTAGAACAGACTGTATTGCTGTCGACAACAACCAGTTGGGCTGTGCGAAAGCCTGCTGCAGGCTGTGGCACGTCGCAGTGACGACAACTGCACTTGCCTTGTTGTGGACCTATCGCGTGCTCGGTGCTTAGGCTCCTTTGAGTGATTGTTGCGTTGCTCCAGGCAAAGGGGCGTAAATCATGGTAGGCTTTTCGCAAGTTGTGGCGGCAGACCTTTTGACCCAGGTTGAGCTGTCCAGCGTGCCCGAGTCTGCGAGCTCAGCTTACGCAAGCCAATGCTTCGAACCCCCAAGAAGCGACAGCTCATCGGCGGTCGGCAAGGCAAAATGGCATACTAGAGACTAGAGTGTGCTCAAAGCGCAAGCATTTCGACTGATGCTCGTACTCTCGACTACACACTGCTGATGTGAGAGGCACGCCTTCTCCGTAATGCTTTTCGGTTGCAGTCGCCGGTCAGAGAGCTTCACTCGGACGGGGCGGTCGAAGGCCTCATCCGTTCCGAGCTGAGAACCGAAGCGGATACTTGTACCCAGGCAAGGGAAGCGGCAGCGGCCTCCGGTCTTGGAGGCGGGGCACCTGCCCGAATTGGGCATGTTCCGTACTATTCGGTATTATGTCTATGTCACCTGCTTAGCGAGGGTTAGGCCGGGGGAACGGGATCCCGGATTCCAGGCCTGTCCCTATTTCTAGGCCCAGCTCGTGACAAGCGCTAGCACAAGCTTGTGCTTGGGAATATAGTCCATTTGGATACCCTTTGCGCTGGAGCACACGCCATCACGGCACACACCTAAAGATAGGACACTTGCCATCGCGAAAGATTCCCCAAGATCGTGACCTTGGAAGGTGCCTGGCCCTGACCTAGCCGAGCAAGTTCCGCCCGTTGCCTAGCGATGCTGCTTTCCAGCTACTGGAGCTTCTTGATGACTGAAGCTGGCTATGCTTCAATCCCGTCCTTGTGTGATCGATCGTTGTTGTAGCCGAATCAAATGACAAATGCATGGTGAGACTGTGAGACTTCCGCCTGGCTTTGCCCCGTAATGTGATCTCTCGAGGTATTGGAAGCACAAGCCAGATGATTATCGCCGGAATGGCGATGTGCAGCATGCCAGGTCGGCTCTGTTGTGCTGCGGGTCACTGCTGCCACGGGTCTCAGCTTTTCATGAGTCTGTTTCTGAGGTTTGGTCACTCTCTGCCCACCGCCGAGAAGTCCACTCCAGAAAATGCGCATCGCACGAGGCGAAAGAAGGGAGTTTGGGAGTTTGGCTGTCGCGACATCTCCATTCGCACGTCAATCCTTCGAAAAAACACTCGACCACAAGTTCTACAGGATGCCGGGTTTTGCTTGCAATAGCTGGCAGTTAAGTTGACACAGCGATTGGCCCAAGGCATGCAGAAGGGCCGCGCGAGGTGGGGCACCCTCGTGTAGCCACGCTCGAGATCGTTTGATGGACGAATTTCGGGTCAAAGGTTGGAGGCTCACATGCATTCAACATCTCCTGCAGTGGAGTTGCAGGGTCCATGCTCGAGCATTATCTTGGCTGCTTTAGAACACGTGTCAGGCCGAGGCGAGCCACGTGCCTTAAGGAGATGTGATGTAGCAGGACTCAGAAAAGACGTCGCTGCCTCCATCATCTCCGGCCACAGCCGACGAGGCATGTCCATCTCCGCGAGATCTTGTAGGTCCTCGCAGTCGCATGTCCGATGACCTTGACATCCTGTACTTCCATGTTGACCCTTCGGAAAAGGTTTGCTGGTGCCCGTGGTGCCGGACGCTGAGCAGCCATCTGTGAACTATGACAACTCTTGCCTGTCCAGCAAGCAATCTCAAGCTGTGTGGTTTCAGGGTTGCGCATGCAATGTCAGTTGTCAGCACATGTTGAAGCTGCGTGACTTTCTGTGTGATCCTTTGTGCCAAGCCGCGTTGAGCCTGTTTGGACCGTAGACCAAAGAGAGTACACGAGAAGCCCTCAGCCAGAAGGTTTTGTTGTCGGCTCCGAGGTTGTGGCATGAGCCAGGAAGGCAGGGCCGGCAGGGCTGCAGAAACAGCTCGCCCAAGACACTCGAACGAGCTCGGCCGCTTGGCCGTCGAAACGTCAAGATAGGTCCGGTATACTTGCTCTGTCAGGGAAGCCGGAGAACCTCATCCTGGGATCCTTCGAGAGGTGGAGGCCGTTCAAAGCACAGGATGGATTTGTTTGAGAGCGAGGTTGAGTGCGGACGCGTGAGACCCTAGATGTAAGCATTATGTGTTCCCTGTCTTCGGCAGGTTGCACATGCATGAGCATCACTTTGACAAACTCGGGCTCGCCTACGCGGCCGACGAGATCGTTCCCTGCTACTGGTGTTGCAGACCGTGCCTTGGTGCAAGCGCGAATGCCCGATCCTGTCTTGCCCTGCCACGATGTGCTTGGGGTAGCATCTCCCTGCCTTGCAAACCTCGTGTTACGAGGTGCGTCACCAAGAAGGGCCAGCTCAAGAGCGGGCCGAATGCTCGGACTGTGGTAGTACATGTCACATGTGACATGTGTATTCTTAGTGGCGGCAGGGCTTTGTCTGGCAGAGCACATGGTGGCACCCAGGAACCGCTTGCCCTTCTGGGGATCCCACGAGCGTGTCTGCAGAGAGAATCCGAGCAAGCCCGTACTCCCCGGCCAGGCAGGGCTTCCGTAAAGGCTGAAACAACAGAGACTCCTGCATTGAGGGGCACTCCGCTCCAAGCGAGGCTCGCAGCTCCGAGGGGTCGCAGACCTCCAGCGGGGAGTGGCACTGGGGAAGGAGCCAGGCGAGCGCAACGCCGTCATTCGCGGTGTGCTTTCGAGTCTGTGGCTGTTCTCGCAGGCCCGGAGACCGGGCCCCCGAAAAGACACCAGCGGCGTGGGTCCGGTCCTCAAAGCATCGCCTTCTTTGCCTCCACTTCTGTCCTGTCCGTGTTCATGCTATACGAGGTGCGACGTCTCCTTCTCTGGCGTACCGCGATCTACGGGACTCGTACCCTGCATGCATATAACAACGTTGAGCCTCAGCCCTCATATGTGCCTTGATTTCAGCTACGAAGCAGCTACTACTGATGCTACTAGCGAGTCTTCGTGATGGACCCTCTAAAAGTTGGCTGCTTCGAGCTCTGCGATGAGTAGAAAGCCTTCAGCCTACAAAGGTGCCTCAAACCTCCTCAACCGCCCCATAGGTACGACCTCCGGGAGCTGCGCCAGTCTCTGCCGGGTGCGGCTATCGGAGGCCTCTGCGTTAAGAACTTCATGCGATGGGCATGTCAGCGATGCTCAGTGCATTTCCAAGAGTGCTTACTTCAAGCCTGGGGTAGTAGCGATGTCAGCAACAGTTACACGTGTGGCAAGGTGATGAAATTGGGCGGATGGGCTATGATGCACGCCGTCCACCTCATCTGCCGAAAGGCTTGATAATGCTTGTTGCATGCTTGCTAAATGATAAGCAATGACATGCTTGAAGTTGGGGGGCTGTGCTGATAGAGAGAGAGAGAGAGAGACAGAGAGAAGGGGGAAGTCTCTGCACTGCACGTTTTCTGGTGCCTGCTTGTTCTCTTGAAGAGACTTGAAGAGTGAGTATGAGATTTCAGTCAGTCCAAATCGCGAATGACGAGGCAGTGCAGAGCACCTCAGCGAGTCGAGGCCTTGGACCACTTGAAGATTGCAGGGCTGCAGTCCCTGTTCGTGTTGCTCCAGAAACTCGTCCTTGACTCGATCGTTTTTGAAAGAAGCCCTCTCCTCTCCTTTCCTCTCCGCTCCCTCGCATTCCTCACTTTCAGTTGAGGCGTCGTGCGCCGCGGCCCATGGAGGCCCAGAGTCTAATCAGGGAAGGGTTTTCGTAGAAACAGCCAGGGCTGCTGCAAAAGCCAAGGCAAGTAAGGTCGGCCTTCTTGGAGGAGTTGGAGGGTCGTGTTGGGCTGGTGTGTTGGGAATCATGACAATTATGACTGGTTATGACAACTATGATTATGATGGTTCCATGTCAACTTCAACTCTGCTGCTGTTGGCTTCGCCACGAAACGATTCGTTTGGTTGCAGGCGGTGTATCGGAGACTCCGAGTTGCATTGCACCCCTAGGTTTATGAATCCCCAGGCCCGCCGTGCCACTGCGGCGACTGAGAGAGCAGATGCCGAAGAGGTGGTGTCTGCTAATCCGGTGCAAGGACCTTGCGCAGCAGTTCGGGCTGGGCAGAGCCAACAAGACACCTTTCAGACACATTGAACGACTTCGGGAGTTATCTCTTGAAGACTTCGAGGCTGTGCCTCGCGCCGCACCAGTTTTGCGGGTGTTGAGCATCCTCAGGACCCAGAAGAAGTCATGTCAGACCCAGGCGTGCTCTCTGAGAAGGCGGGCTGGCACGGTGAGGAGAGTTGCAGACACCGCAAAGTGCTGCCAGGTGCTCGTTTCGGGCTCCGTTCAGCTGTGAGTCGGCGGTGCAACATGTCTGCCACAAAACCCACGAGTCACAAATTAGTTTTGCGCAACGTTCAAGAGCCAAAAGCACAACGTTTCAAACCCTGTGCTACCGTTAAACAGCAATGTTTCGGGACGTGCTGCGGTTCTTGTGGCAGACATGTCCTGCCTTGACTTGATGCCACTGCTGCTGCTATAGCAGCAGTGCCTCGGATGCACGCACGTCTTGCTGTGATGGAGAGTTTGGAAGCTGTTGGGTTCCGGACCTGCATCCTCAAGGTGCTGTAACATGAAGCGCTTCGCAAAGAAGAGGCAGCTGTTTTTAATGTGGGGGCTTGGTTGTCTACTTTAGCAGAACAGTCGAAGCTGGTCAGGGTGTGAACGCACTAGTAACCTTGGATGGTCCCACAGGTCGTCTTCACTGCAAATGCCCTGAGCTCAGCAACTTAACGCGCCTGAAGAATCGTCGACAAGCCACCATAGTCGCAGCTGGTGGTGTTAAGGACGTTATGGCAACGGCGAGGCTTGCAGGCTAGTTGCAAACTCCGCATCGAATTCGCTGCAGGATCACGGGTGAGACCCTCAAGGGAATAATCCACATCGGAGAGCGGTGTCGGTTTGGATTCTCTCCGGGATGCCTGGCGTGTGGCCGGCTGCCATGATCTGCGCCGTTTTCAGTCGGCCGTGCCTCAGCTGGGCCGCGATTGCCCTTCAAGGAGGGGATGGGCCCAGAGCCAAGACTCGTGACTCGTGGAGAAGAGGTGCTTTGAGATACGTTCTCCTTCCATGGGCAGACGCGACGCAGTGGAGTGACGAACTTTTTTCTGTCGGAGTCACTTAGGCCTTGAAGTAAGGCACTTCGTGTGGGCAAATGCATCGTTCTTCAGGTGTGCCTCGTGGCCAGCTTCCCGCTCTTTTCCGATTGATACTCGGAAGGGAGAGATATGTTTCACGTAGGAGGATTCCACGGCAGACACCACCACTGTCGCCACAAACTACCCCAGTAAGAGCATGTCAGCGTGCTAGAACATCTGCAGGGTGCACCGGAGTGTGTTGTGCCGTATATCTGCAAGGTAGCCAGTGTCCAAAACACCACCCAATCCGTCAATCGTCGTAGGTAGGAAACGCTGCTTGTTTTGATAAGTCTCAAAACACGCGTGCTGTGTAAGGGCAGGTGGTCAGCTTGTTCGAGCTTCGGGCGAGCGAAAGGACAGAGTTTGGTGTTTTTCATTGCTCTACCTGCCCGGAAAAGGTTAATTCTCACAGGCAGCAGCTGCCTTCTCTGAGTCGCTGCGGAACAAAGCTTTGGGCAGAAGCACTGTCCAGAGCAGCAACGTTCAGCAAGCAGATGCCCAGATGGCACACGCCGCTTGGAAGCGACCCAAGCCGCGGTCGGATGCCCAAAGGTAAAGCAATCCGGAGGTCGAAATAGCTAACAAAAGGGTGTTCCATCAAGCATTGAAAGCATGTTTTCTGCAACCGTTTCGCCTCCGATGTCGCCATGAGCTCGCAACAGACCACGTCGCAGGAAAAAGGGAAAATCCAAGATTTTCAGATCATGATCTCGCTGCTCAGAGACTGCCGTCCTCGGAGTCGCAGAACAAGTGGCTCGATGCCCGCAGCCTGGCTCCACAGCCAAGGCTCCTTGCACCTGTAGCACAGGCTCTTTGAAGGAGCGAGGGACGAGGGACGACGCAGGACGAGAGCTCCTCAGCTTGGACTTCTCGGCTCGTGCAAGGAGTCCTGGCCACATGGCGCGACTCATCCTCGCGATGGCCTGCATGGCCTCCAGCATGGCCGGTGCTCGCCACTACAGTGTGCTTCTGGCACCTGAAAGCTCCTTGAATCTACGCTGGCTCAGGTGCTCGGGCCTTCCTTTCAGCTGTACAGCCAGCGCTGGGGCCTTGGACTTTGACCGTGGATGCCTCTCCGCAACTTCCCTCTTTCGCAGAGCTGTTCTGAGATCGGTCTCTGCAGTAGCCCAGTTCAAAGGACCCCGTCCCTTCTGCGCCCACGCTCTGGCAGCGCGGCATGGGCACCAGGCACGGTACTGGTTAAAGGATCTGACTTCCCCGGCTCCTGGAAGAGGGAGGCATGTTGATAAAAGAGCCTGAGGCTTTCAGAGCTTATCGGGGGAGCAAGGGTTAGTGAGTGTAGGGAAGATAAGGGTTTAGGGCGGTTAGAGAGTAGTGTGCGTATACATGTTCTGTTTGACAAGGATTCTATGGTAGACCAGGGTTTTGGTTGGACCAGGTCTCATGTGAGACCAGGTGTTATGTCAACTAAGTCTTGCTGTGAGACGTAAGCGCATCGCAGCTACCAGTGCCTTGTCAATCCATCAGTTAGTAGATCAATCGATCAATCGAACAATCAATCAGTCAATCAGTCAATCAATCTATCATCACTGTGAGACGAGTTTCTGTTGGACCGGGAGGTCTGTTACACAAGTTGTTCTGCTAGACAAGTTTTGCAAGAGTTCTGATTTGAAAACGGCTTGGCTTGACTTGGTTTGATACTTTAATATATATATATATATATGTAGTGTATATATATATATATGTATATAAATATATATTATTACATATATAATATGTATAATATGTATACACACAAATATGCTGCATATATATATATATATACACACATACACATATCTACATGTATGTCTGTATATCTGATACAGCCACCCCGCAAGATCTGCACCCCCGCTCTCTTTTCCACTCGCAAGAGTACTTCCATGTGTCTCGTTCCCAACTACTCGACAGACCGAAGTTTTGCATCTTCGAAAACTGTGTATGCACCGATTTGCAAACCAGGAGCTGGTTCAGAAGAACCAGGAACAGGATAAGCATATACAGATGAACGCCAACAAGGTCATTGGTTCGGTTGGGAAAGGAATGCTTGACAAAAGATTTTACTGGGCTAGCTCCTGCATGCACCTGAAGGCAGAGCCATGAAGTGCGATATTGTCCCTGAAAACGTGAGCTCTGAAGCGCTGCATTGTCCCGCCAAAGCACAGCACTTTTTAGGTCCCAGAGTGGCCCTTCCAAATACGCATGTCCAGGGACGAAGACCAAACTGGACCCCTGACGGTTGCAGTGTGCATTATCTCGCACGCAGAATGTCTTTCAACATGGCACAACACCTTTCGTTTGCCATGAGACAGGGAGCTCGAAGAAATAATGAAATTGTCCAGTTTATTGAGCCGCTTTGTATGCAAAACTTGGACGGCAGGAGCTTGGTTTGCTTTTGAAGGACCAGGCAAATGCTATACTTCTCTTCCAGCTGTAAAGGGATGAAGCAACAAGGGAGCTTGGAGCCTTCCTGTTTCTCCCTAGACTTAGAGAAGTTATCTTGTTCGTAGAAGGATGCCCGGATGGAGAAGGTGTTTTCTTATGTTTCGCCCAAAGAGACGTTGCTGTTGAAAGATTGAGAAGATGGACAAAGACGAGGCAGGCGTAGATCTTGGGACCTGGGAGGGGGGGAGCAGTTGTACATCGCATATGTAATTATGTATGTGTATGTATATGAGTACATGTATGTGTATGTGTACATGTACATGTCTATGCTGGGCAAGTTCTGGTAGCAAAACCCGAGACGTGTGAGCCGGAAAAGTATATCAATCTCGCAGAAGTTCAAATTTTATAGCAGTGGCTGCATGTGCACGCTATAAGGAAACCTCGAAGCGCCAGTCGTTTTGAATCAGCACGGCGTGCCTGTTTTAGCGACATGTTTGAGACTTAAGCAGAACCAGGCACCACTACTTGTGTGATGTAGAGCTTGGTTCTACTCAAGACGACTAGGTCCTCTGTGAAGAGTTTATCTTGAGCTCATCGACTCCCAGCTTTCCAGTCACTGTGAGCCTTGAGTCAAAGGTTCCCTCGAAGGCCATCGACGGAATCTTAGACTTGCAAGCAGGTGCCGGAACACCGGAGCGGAACGAATCCTTCGGCCAAGTGCATGGCACCCGGCTGCTGCTGCTTGTGACGGTGTCCTGGAGATGTGCATATAGCTGCAGCTGCCTCTGATGCCAGAACAGCTTCAAATGTTCAGCCCACATCAGCAAGACAAAGATGCGACATGGTGAGATTCTTGAAGCGAGTCTCGAGTCCCGCCATGGAGCTTCGCGACAGGTGTGCGTAGGCTTCGGACTTCTGTGGCGGGACCTGAAAACTGCTTGAGCGAGCATGGTGTGTCAGAGGATGGGAGCCGAGCGACGGCTCTACAACCGCTTGGAGGTGCCTCCAAATGCCTCGCCGGAGGACATCAAGCGTGCGTACAAGTCAGCACCCCTGACATCCTCCGTGTGCAAGAAGAGCAGCTGATGCTTCACATCGTTTCGAGGCGGCTGGCGCTCAAGCATCACCCGGACCGGGGCGGCGATGCCAAAGCCTTCCAGGAGCCAGACTAGCAGTTGCTCGCATCAGTGGCTTTGTTGGCGAGAACCAGAGGATGTGGTACCGGGCCCGCAGGGAGACAGACTGTGGAGGTTGTCCCCGCATGAGGGTTATGCCCTTCTGCAAGAAGTTTGGGGTACAGAACAGTGTGGCTTGCTTGATGCTCTGTTCCTTTCTTTTTTTCTTGCGAGAGCGCCTGTCGCATGCCCTAGAGCCCAGCTGCTGTATTGAGAGGCTGTTGGGTCCAACTAGCATGCCAGAGAGACGTCCCTGCAAGCCTCGATTCACTGAGAGGCTTCCATTCGTGTCTGGATGCCTTTGTGGCTGCAGGATCTATGCAGAGTGTTGGTGAGAATCATCCTCTGGTTGACCGATCACCGTGGTGCGGAAACACTCGACGCAGGTTTTTGCTGGGATGTGGTATCGGGCCTGCAGGGAGACAGACTGTGGAGATTGCCCCCGCATGAGGGTTATGCCCTTCTGCAAGAAGTTTTGGGCACAGAACAGTGT